TGATTGCTGTTCTGTGTTTTATACTCAGAAGATGAGCCACACTTAACCTGCTGGCCATTCACCCCTTCGGACTTGGGCAGGACACTGCGCTCTGTCTGTCTTTGAAAGTCGGTTTTATCAGTGTCTGTCCATGTCCACGTCAGTTTGTTTTTCTGTGTCTCACAGTCTTGGGAAAAGGCTAAACTTCATCTGCTGGACTTAGTTTTTAACTCATTTCAAGGATTTTCGGGAAAAAAAGGCAACTGAACTGATAAGCCGGCTCTACCCTTGGAGCCCTGCCCCTGCAAGCCCAGGACTGCCTGGACAAGCTGCTCTGAGAGGGGCACCAGCAGCTTCTCAGCTTCCCCCGTAAGAAAGCTAGTGGCTGGTTCTCCTGCAGAGCCTCTGTGGTCATGAGAATTGGATTCAACTGGTAGCAAGGTGCTCCTCCCTTTAAATTACAGCTGAAAAAAGTAAGGAAGGTTTTATTTTGAACGTATAAATATATGTATGGCTGCCACATGTTTATTTCTGACTGGCCTTAAATGTACGCGTTTACTACGTTCTGTATGTCTTGGTTGTAGATTATTGGTTACTGGGTATGTTTAAAATCTGTAACAACTCTAACAAAAAAGTTAACTTAAACTTATAACTTAGGGTTGGAGCCATTTCTGTCCTGAATTAAAAATCAAGCTTAAAAAACAAAGAAAGAAAGAAAAAATTAAAAAAAAAAAAAAACAACAAGATTTAAAGCAACGTTTGTTTAATAAGGTATTATGAGCTGAACCTCCAAGAGTTGGGATACAAAAACTTTTCTTGCTGGCAGCTAAACTTTATAACATCAAAATAATGCACTTGGTATTGATTTTAGAGATACCAAACTGTTTACACTGTTAAAATGTGGCTTTGCCTTCTAAAAATTATTGTTATGCTATGTGACTTCACTCTTAAAAAGAGGTACTTTATTTTGATATTGCAAAAATAAGTTTTTAAAAATGTTTAAGGCCAGGGGCTGGAGAGATGGCTCAGTGGTTAAGAGCACTGGTTGCTCAAATAAATCATTAAAAAAAAAAAATGTTTAAGGCCATGAAATGTTTTAAAATTTATCAGGTACTTTATAATGTCTTTATTAATATATGATGTTGATAAATAAATAAGTTAAAAATGGTTTAACTATCTCTAAATCTAGTTCTTTTTCATTGTAAATTATTCCTCTTTTATGATTACTAATTGCATTAATGCCTCTTGGGAAGAAAAAAAAAAACTTCTGTTTGGGTAAATCAACCTTCTTATGTTTTATTATCTGTAAATCTGAGCCAGCTTTGGTTTGATGACCCAGGCACAAACTGGATACCATTAGCAATGCTGTTAACTGGACCCAAAAGATTTTTCATACTGCAGAACATGTTAATCAGCTTTCAACAAAATGTGTCCTTAGCACTAATTACTAAAAAAAAAAAAAAAAAAAAATATTTAATGAACATCTAAAGGATAGGATAAATGCTTTGGAAAAAGCAATTTTCTTTAAGTATAATCAAATTCAAAATATTAAAGTTAGATTAATTGTTCCTATCATTTACAGCTTAAATGAATTTGTGTCACTCCACTTCCGTACAATGCTTTTAAGGTGATCTGGGCACAGTTGAGGTCCGCTCTATGAGCTATGGAACAAATCTGAGTTAGCCACAATCATGTAGTCTTTACATCAACAAATTACAGCCAGCAGGTTCAGCTCAACTGGAGTCCACCTCAGCTCCCGAGGTTGCAAATACATTCTTACAATCTCATCGAGACAGGACTTCTGGTCTATTATCATAAATTTGGGAGCAAATCTGGGAGTTTTATTTTGATTCTTGTCCTTCCAGTCATCATCCCAAAACCTGAGAAAGCCCTATGCCACACAATGAGATCTACAGGCCCTTAAGTTAGCAAATAAAAAGGTGGAAATGACACTCAGCCATATTCAATGGGAACAGAGAAAAGCATAAAGCCAGCCCAGCTGCTTGACAAAGAGCCAGCGAAGCTGAGCCTCGTGATGCAATTGCTGTGGTGCAGTTTCTCACTCTTTTGGCCTTGATCTCTACATGTCACATGCTTGGGGTTCTTCTATTATTTGTACAACTTGAGGACATTGGATTGATGGAAAATTTCTTATGGATCATTTACACCTTCTCCCAAGAGTACTGTTTCTAAGCTTTCCCAGGAATGTCCTGACCATAAAACCCTCCCACCTTTAGGGAGATATCCTTATCTGGGCCTACTTAAAGGTCTGCCTTACGTGCTGGAGGTTGTGACTCAAATAATTATGCCAGAGACCTCCTTATGAGGCTCTGATTCAAGAGACTCTTGGCACATCAGCCCCTGCACTCACTCAGAAACAAAATAATCAGAACAAAGTAAATTTAAAAAGGTAAACAATATTTGGTAGACTAGAGGAGTTGGCAGCAGATCAACTAAAAGCCTCTTCCTACTACCGATGGACAAAGAATGGTGTGGATAAATGATAAAAGAATAAAATATTAAAACCTCCCTTTCTTAGAAAAAAAAAATTAACTCGTACAGGCCACTGTGGTGTCTTATGACCAAGAAAGAAAAGAATACCAAGATTAGACATATAAATAAATTCTACAAAAATATAAAATATAAACATTGTATTATGACAGAAATTAGATAATAACCGAAGCAACCTTAGCTTAAAGACTTCTCTTAGGCCAGTATACTGACAATTAGCACTCTGACTACTAAAAGTTGATGATATACTACTTGGGACATGACAATCTGCCCAGGATGGCTTGGTGGATGCTCTTATGACAGACCCAGGAAGAGTACTGGCAACAAGACACAGAACAATGCCAACATTGTAGCCCTGGCTTTCTTTCCTCCTGAGGCAGCGTATCACTACATAGGCCAGGCAGGCCTGGAATTCAGATCCACCTGCCTCTGCCTTCTGGTTGCTGGGACTAAAGGGATGCTTCATCATGCCTGGTCCTATTTCTTTTTTTTGTTGTTGTTGTTTTGTTTTGTTTTCTCACCCACAGGATTTTTACTGGAGCCAAAATAAGTATGTTGTGAAAAAGTGAAACACGGTTTTTAAAGGTGGGGGGGCTTAGCTTTTCAAAACACAAGTGACTCAGATTTTGGTCAATAATGCCACAACACCACCATTTATTTAACTATAATTGGAATTTTAAGGTTCAGTCTGTTTTAAATTTTTATTGCATATTTATTTACTTGGAGCTGTGCATGTGTATGTGTGTGAGTACGCATGTATGTATTTGTCTGAGTGTGCATATGTGTGTATGTGTGTGAGTGTGTGTATTCAGGAGCATCGTTAGCACATATGCAGATGTCAGTGGACAACTTGCACGAGTCCTTCTCTCCCTCTGTCGTGTGGGTCCCAGATGTCTGACTACGGGCATTAGGCTTAGTGACAAACGCCTTTACCTGCTGACCCTTTAGGTCATACTTAATGTCAAACAACAAAAGCTCGGACTTCACACGTTTGAAGGGAGCAGAGGCAGGGGACCTGCTCTCTAAGTGATGCTTGCCACTCCAGGTTTGGTGCTGTCTGATCATCAAGTGTGTTCTCATTCATCACAGCAGGGGATGAACGTCTCCACAAAAGGCCAAGCAACCTCCAGTCCAGACGGGGAAAACAATTCAATCAAGAGGCTGTTTCTCAACAGACCTGAGACAAGACTGGTTTTCAAACTCACTGTCAGCCTAGCGGCTGCTGAGCTAACCCCCCTTTGGCAGGCTCTGGTCTACTCTGGGAGTGTGAGCACCCAGCCCTCACACTGGAGTGCGAGTACACAGGCAGTGAGACTTCCTGCCCTCTTCCCCTCTTTCTCCAAAGAAACTCAGAAAACTCAATAGGAGGGAAATCCCTGACCAGGTGTTTATTCCTGAACTTGCCATCATTGTTTTCCAATTTCATGATACACGGTTTGAAAAGATTTCTTTTTTTTTTTTTTTTTTTTTTTTCTGAACAAAATAACACCAAGTTAGAATTGAAGGAAAAAAACAAAACCAAAGGGGAAAACCACACATATACATAAGTAAATCCTGATGGGATGCTCCATACTGCTTATGTGGTAAAACTGAAGACAGTTTTGAGTTTTTATCTTACATTTCTTTTTTATGTTTTCAAAATATTTCTGTGCAATAAGCATCGTTTGTTTGCTTGTTTGTTTTTGAGACAGGGCTTCTCTGTGTAGCCCTGGCTATCCTATGTAGACTAGGCTGGCCTTGAACTCTGAGATTTGCCTGTATCTGCCTCTCTGAGTGTTGGGCTTAAAGTCGTGCGCCACCATGCCTAGGTTTCTTGTTGGGATGAAAATGCAAGTCAGTTTTTCAAGTGTTTGCCTAGTACACACTGGGTTCAATCCCCATAGACTAATTTGACAAATGTAATATTAAACAAAAATAAAATATGGCTCAGGCCTGAGTTCAATACCCAGACTCACATGACTGAAGGACAGAACAAACTTTTGCAAGTTGTCCTCTGACCCCAACACAAATGCTATCACACACACAGAAAAGAAATAAGTAAAAGTCTTCTAAGTAAGCTCTGTGACTCATTCGGTTTTTCGTGAAGTTCAAAGAGGGAAAACTTACATAGGGTAAGAAGCAGAGACCACCGCTGAAGAACTGTAACTGGGACAGAGCGTAAGAAAACCTGTGCAAGATCCCGTACGCTTACGACTGGCATAGTTTACTTTGAAAAATAAAATCCGGGTTTGAGCCATAACTGTCACTGCCTAAGAGCTGCGGGGCCTTGACTCGATTTCTTTAGAATCTCTAACCTGAAAGTGAAGGGAAATCAGCTGCTTCACAGAAACGTGAGGAGAATTAAGCGCGGTGGGGCCTGTGCAGTGGTGCCTGACCCGGTAGGGCTCAGCGCTTAACCAGGACGGCTGCAGCAAACAGCTCCCGATGTCTCGGCTGCTGCCAGGCCCTAAGCTCTGAGCCCTTGATTCTGTTGCCACCTCATCTCTCCAGTTCCCGTTCTCATCTCTTACCCAAGTCAAGAGCGAAGCTGGTGGCCCAGGGAACCCAGAAGCGTACGACCCAAACTCATCTCACAAAGGGCGCGTTACACTGCGGATGCTGTCTCTGAGGTCACGGCCGGAGTCACCCTATCAGGACTGACCACCCCCTGAAGGGGGAAAGAAAAATCACTGGAGGCTCCCAAAGCGGTGGCTGATTTTTGCAGGAGAAAGAATATTTTATTCTGGTGGGATAATTCATTTGGAACGGAGGAGTCGCCGGGGAACGGAACCCGTTCATCTTTCTTACCTAAGGAAGGAGAAGGGACAGCCAGCCCTCTCTTAGAAGTGTTTCATGTTGACTGGCTAAATTTACCACCCTTTCCGGTATCCCAGATTTACACTCAATTTGCGAAGCATATGCCTGTGGGGAAAATAATGTTAGATGCTGGTCTCGCAGTAAAGGATTCGGATTAGCTCAGATCGTTGAACTACCGTAAACACATCCTCCAGGTTGAGGTCAGCCTGCAGGCTGACTGTGACTCACCCCGACCAGCCTTCCCTTTAAGCAAGGCACGCGTGCTCGGGTTCAAACCCAGCCCCACCGCTCCCCAGCTGTATCACCTTGGCAAAGTACTTAATCTCTCTGTGCCTCAGTTTCCTTAGTAAGACGGACTCACAAGGAGGTCATTGCAAGAAGAAGATGAATTAGTTCCTGTCCCGAGTCCTTAGAGAAATGCCAAGCCCTGTTGAGTCATTCCGGACTTATGATGGTTCCTGAATGTGGCGCAGAATTCAGCTAAAATTATGCAATCTAATCACAAACTTTGTGGATATAGCATAGAGTGTCTGAAAGCCAGGAGGCATTTCTTAAACTTAAGTCAAGGGAACATGAACACCATGCCATAGGTGCTTCCGCAACACACACACACAATTTAAATCAGGTCAACTTCAGCGCATAACATGCCAAGGAACTCAGATTCTCTGCATCCCAATTTAATGCCTCCAAAAGAGGGGAAACAATTCCCAATATGTCTAAGAACTTATCTGACTATATATGCACATATACATGCATATGTATGTATTGATATATGTACATACATGTATATGTACATACATGTACACACGCACATATATATGCTATGTAGTTATGTTATGCGGTTATGTAGGTGGGTTTGGACTGTGGGTTCCTTTCAGCCTGCAGCAAGAAGGCTCACTAAGATTGTGCGTTTTCCTTCCTTTGTAAATGTGGAAAGCTTTTTCATTTTGTTCCAAAGGAAACGGCTGTAGCAAAGTTCAATGACATCAGACACCACCATTGTCCGATGGTGTGAGTATCCGGTGGCCGTTACAGAAGTGCTTAATGCTAAAACCCGGGAGCACAGCAGCTAAGGGCAACTTCATGGGACATCCCGTACAACATTCTTCCTTCTGATTTACCGGATCCCAACCCAGAAAGCCAGCCCTAGAGCAAGGGAAGATGAACAGCACAACGCAATAGTCTACTACCCCAGGGTCCGGCCTCCCAGGAAAAGCCTTTGACACTCACACCTCTGTGTTCCCATGGGGAGGGAGTCATGCTTGGAATGTTGCCACGTGTGTGACCCTGCCTTCACACCAACGGACACATTCACATTTTTCTACAGACCGACCAATGGCACCGAAGATGCCTATCTTACTGACTAGTGCTAGCAGCGGTTCTGTTCTTGTTACCAAAGCAATACAATCCAGATAACACTCCCTGCTATACTGGTCCAGGGTAAGGAAGAGGGCAGAGGCAGGCAGACGCCTGGGCATCCGAGGCTAGCCTGACAGAGTGAGTTCCAGGCCAGCCAAGACGACATAAGAGAGACCACATATCGCAAAAGAAGGAAAAGACACACGGACTCCTAGAAGCCCCACGCTACAAACACGCCACACGGCAAGCCACCTCCAAGAAGACTTTGTTAGACCCTTTTCTGTGAAACCCCGTCCCGGCTTTATTCTGTAGCATCCCAGGTGTCAGTGTGCCCCAGATGGACGGGAAGTTCCACACTCAGATCAGTTCCCAGAAAGGAACACGTCTGAGAGCTAAGAGTAAAAGCAGAAATGACAGCTGAGTTTTATTTGAGAAATAAATTTCCAACGAGCCCTACTTCCTTGCGGAGCTGAGCTGGGCTGTACAGATCATAAAGTTTGCATTGGGTCTTGACCTAAACATCCATTCACTCTTCAAATATGTCTCGCTCTGTGCCAGGTACCAGGGGAGGTTTAAAAGAAAAAAAAAAAGACCTTATTTTATGGCTGGGCTTTTCCCCTTTACATCAACCAGACACAGCTAAAGCAGACTCCCGCCCTCAGGTAGCCAAGTTTCAGACTGTCCTAGCCAGGGCCTTTGAGGTCTCTCCTTCGGCTCCCCTCCCCCACTCTACTAATCCCAAACCTGGCTGGCCAGGTTCAGCAGACAAATGCCAAGGAAATGCTTACAACTCTAATTGAATTCCCAAAGTAATTTCAAGTGTTAAATAAAGAGAGCATTAAAAAGAAATCCTATAGTCTAACTCCACTGTCTGTGTACTGTGTTTCATCAGTAAATGAGACATTTTCTCCCTGATGTCAGAACTGGCCTGTCCCGGCCCTGCCCCCAAAAGGTGGGAGACTCACACACTGAACAGCCTTGGCCACGAAACCCTTTCAGCAAAGCACCGGGAGAAGTTCAGGGCCCTCAGTGTGTTCACCTCGGAGCCATCTGTGAGGCACGCTTTCCTCCAGAAGCCAGGCGTGACACCATGTCCCACAGATGGCACAAGCCAAGCCACCAGGTAGAAAGGCCACTGAGCGCTGGAAGCAAGAAGTCTCCCCAGGCCCCCTCTCCCAATGCCTGTAAACACCCTGTGCACATCATCTCAGAAGCTGGTGGGGAGGGGCACCGGGACTCAGCTCCAGGCAGAGCAGGGCGAGTGCTTACTGGCCGGACCCTGCAGCCTGTCAACCTCTGCCTGAGCCAGTGGCTCACTGGGGTTCTCTCTCCCCCTGTGTCCTGGCCCAGCACTGGAGGCGGCTCCAGAGCAACACTAGCAAAAACAAAAGGTAAGGCTACAACACTGATTCGGAGGACCCGGCTTCTCCCTGGCGCCTCCTCCATGGTACATTCTCGGGAGTTTGGTGAAAGCAAGCAGCCAGTGGCCTGCGGCTTCTTGCTCGCCTCCCCATTACCTCTCCAGAGCCAAAGCAACACACAGAGGGTCCCCAGCTTTCACAGGGCCTGGTGGGGTCCCAGTGCCCTAAGCCCAGAGCTGACCTGCTCCCCTGAGTGGTTTTTTTAAACTTCTTTTTGTTGAAGTCTTCACCCTGGGAGCACAGAAGGGGTGGCTGAGGTGAGAGGGGTGGCAAGCTCTTCCAAGGTGGAAGCATGAGGCTCCACAGTCTCTGTAGAGAGCTGGTTTTACATCTTTATGCAGCTTCAGGTTTCTCTTCTGGACTCCCCTCGAGGCTCCTGAAAGGGGGGACACATAGAGCCAAGAATGCCCTCTACCCCTTCACAGGACACCCACACTCACCTCCCCGGCTCCCCGCCTCCCAGCCTTGGGTCTAGGTCAATGACAAAACTACAAATCTGCCAGGGCCTGTGCCTGGAGTCTAAAGCAAAGGATATTATTAAAGGCACAGGTTAAGGATCCCTCACTCCTCGGCTCCTCATTTAGAAGCCCTCGGTGGCGTGCAAAGTAAACACTTCCCAAGAATGCTTTAAAACGAAGGGAGGTTTTTATTAAATGACTTAATTGAGGGCCACTTCTCCAGGCGGAAAGCTTTTAAAGCGAGGAAGAAAGGGGGCCTGGCGGGTGTCTCCCAGACACTTGTTTTGAAAACCTGCCATGCTGTCACGGGAAATTAAGCACAACGGGGAGGAGGGGGGAGGGGAGGGGGCGGGGTCCCTGTGTGTGTTCCTTCAGTGTGATCTCCCACAGAAATAAAACACCCCAGAAAACCTATTCCTGTGCGTGCCTAGCAAGAGTGCTCCATTCCAGCGAGCATGTCAAGGGTCACTGGAAGCATGGGATGGGAAAAGTGGGGAAAATTAAGCTTATAGGCAAAAAGGATCCAACTAGATGATGAAAGAAAGGCATTTTAAAACTTAAAACAAGACACTGGTAAGGACAGCCAGGATGCCTTCAATTCCAGCACTTGGGAGGCAGAAGCAAGCTTCATCTGCATATTGAGCCATCCAGGGCTACACAGTGAGACCTTGTTTACACCCAACTCCCACCCCCACTCCCACAAGATGTTGGTGAGCAGCACTAGAGAGCTGGCAAATGATGCAGAGATAGAAAAGAGCTTTGAAAACATGTTTCAGAGAAGGCTCCAGATACAGAAGGCCACGTACTACAGGAAATCTCCAGAACAAGCATTTTTGTAAAGGCAGAAAGAAGATCCGCTGTTGCCAGGGCCTGATGGCAGGGAAAATGTAGGTACAGGGCTTCTGCTTGGGAACACGAGGAGGTTTAGAATCAAGTAGTAAAGATGGTTGCCCAACACGGTGAATATACCATCCTACTGAAATGTAACTTTCACATTGTGTATTTTATCAAACAAACAAACAAACCAAAAAATAAAAATAATAAAAGGCCTCCCAGGGACTGGAAAGATGACTCAGTGGTTCCAAACACGGACTATTCTCGAAGAGCGCCCTGTTCCCAGAACCAACAGAGCCTGTCACAACTCTCCGTAACTTCAGTTCCAGGAAATCTGACTCCCTCTTCTGGCCATCACAGGTAATACACACATGTGATACACATGCACACATTCAGGCAAACACTCACATACATGTTTGTTTGTTTTTAACGTGCTGAGAGGCTTCAGAAGCAGAAGCAATCCGTCCCTTGCCTGAGCACCAATACACACACCACAGACTGAAATAAAACGGAGATTGCTCTACCAAGTCTGCGCATGTCAGTGTAAGACCTTTTCACAGAAGAGATCTACCACCCAGGCTGAGACCCAGCTGCTCTGTAACTGTGGCCCTCATCGCCTGCATAGCCCTCCACTGTGCTCAGGCATGAACTACAACTTCTGAAAACACCTGGAGAGGGTGCCTGTTGGCTGGGAGTCTGGCTTGGTAGTACTAGTGTGGCATGC